TTGCATTTTTTAGTCGTATCATTTTTCAGTATGTTGTCTTTTCAGTATATTGACTTTTTTTCTGTATCTCTTTATAACAGTCACTTTTTTGACTATATATTGCTTTTTTTTTATTTATATCACTTTTTAATTATATATCAATACTATCTATAATAATTATTTAATCATATTGCATTTTTTATTCATGTTATTTTTCAGTATGTTGACTTTTTTTTCCATGTCTCTTTTATATCAGAGTCACTTTCTTTGATCATATGTTGTTTTTCTATCTATTAACTTTTTTAGCCATATTAATTTTAATTGTTGCTATCTTTTTTATTTGCATTATCTTCAACTTCATGGCACTCTCACTTTTGTTGTTTCGTTTTTCCATGCCACTTTTTTTTTTAATCTCCTTTTTTTTCTGTCTTTTTTTTCTCAGTGTTTTTTTTCTTTGGTATACATTTTTTTAGTTTTATATTTTTTTCTCAGCACTACTTTCAAGTTGTCATTTTTTTGATTAAATTATATTTGATTAATTTTTTTTTTGATTGATTCTTTCTTCAGTCATATTATTGTTAAACAAAAATAACAGCTTGCCTTTTTTAGTAATTATAATAGCTCTTTGCATATTGATGAGAATAATAGTAAAACCTCTGTTAATGATTTCAATGATCTCAATATTCAACACAACAATCAAGAAGGTGAATTAGATTTGAAAACTAAATATAATGAAGATATAGAGCTTTCATATTCATTGGCTGAAAATCTGCCTTTTGAATCTTGGAATAAAGTTGATAAGTAAGCACGTGTAAAAATTTTTGAAGTAACAAGAAAATCTGATTTGAGCTATTTATTAATTTTTTTTTTAGGTATTTTGGATAGCATGGCCAGAAGAAAGAGTTTGCATTTTGTATAATTTGTAACGAAAATGACAAAGTTAATAAGAAACCTCGATGCTATATATATTTATATACAAAGAGACAAAAATATATACAACGTAAAGAAGCACATTTGAGTGATGAAAGAAATAAAGATCATAAGACAAAAGGTTGTTTCTTTTATGTAAATATATACTGATAGAAGAATAATGATAAGATTTGTATTTTAAGTATTATTGATATGCATAATTATGAAATAGTTGAAAACATTGCTATAATTAAACCAAGATATCAAAGGTTAACAAAAGAGATGCAAGATAATGTTCAATTACTTGCAGCTTGTAGCATATAATCAGGTGCAATTGTTAAAGTTCTATAAAAAAAAATCCTAGGAAGTATATATATATACATGTAATATGTATAATATGGTATAAATGATTTATTGTGTAAGAAGTATAGCAGGTAATGCAGGTAATACATATTTGAAACTCATTAAAAAGCAATACAAAGATCTTGGTTATTATGTTAATGTAAAATTCAAGAGAGTAGATAACTATCTAGTTGGTCTTATATGAATATAGCCAAGTCAGATCTAACTTTGAGGCAGATTTTGTGATATTGTCTTTATAGACACAATATTTAAAACAAATCGCTATTCAATAAAGCTCTGTGTTATAGTAGTTATTAATAATTATAATTGTTCATACTTAGTAGCTACCACAATTATATCGGATAAAACCAAGGATACTTTTTCATAGGTTTTGAAAAGTTTACTTAAGGCATCAAATAGCTTATCAGCAAAACTTATATTTACAGATGTAAATTGTGCAATAGTAGTGGCAATAAATAAAGTTTTACCAAATACAAAGCATCATTTTTGTCTCTTTTATATTAGAATAAATCTTGAGAAATATTTTCTAGGGAAGTATAAAGACAAGAAATATAAGGAGTTTTTTAGTATATTTGTCATACACGAAATAGCTATATGGAAGCTGTTTTTGAGAAATATTAGGTAGATATGATACAAAAGTATTCCAATTCTGTATTATATTTAAAAAGACAGCTTTATCCTTGTCGAGAAGCATGAGTTTTTTTGTTTTATACACAGATTATTTAATGCTGGTATATAGTCAATACAAAGAGTTAAATTGTACAATAGTATTATTAAAAAATATGTAAATAGTGCAT